TTCATGGACTTCAGCTCGGCGTTCAACACCATCATCCCGGACATCCTCAGCACCAAACTCACCCAGCTCACTGTGCCAGCCTACACCTGTCAGTGGATCACAGACTTCCTGACTGACAGGTGAGGCTGGGAAACATCACATCCACCCCCCGGACTATCAGCACTGGCCCAGGGGTGTGTGCTCTCCCCACTGCTCTTCTCCCTCTACACCTCTGCACCTCCATCACTGTCTGGTTTAGATCTGCCACCGAAAAGGACAGGGACAGACTACAACGGATAGTCAGGACTGCAGAAAAAATCATCTGTGCCAACCTGCCCTCCATTCAGGACTTATACATTTCCAGAGTCAGGAAATGGGCAGGAAACATCACTGCAGATCCATCTCACCACGGACATAACCTGTTCCAGCTCCTCCCCTCTGGTTAGATCTACAGAGCACTGTACGCCAAAACCAACAGACATAGAAGCAGTTTCTTCCCACAAGCCATCACTCTGATGAACAGCTGATTTCTGACTCACAGTGTCAGGAACAATTCCTGTGCAATAACCCAGTAACTCTGTCTCTAATCAGCTACCTGTTTACTGGTTTCCACTTATTATTTATTTATTCACCATTCTCTATTTCAGTACTGTTCATACTATATCACCCCCGAACGGGGAACAGAGGAGTTGGAGCCAGCAGACGAGGAACGGGAAAAAGCCTCATCAGTCCCGATGCCCTCGGAAATGTCGCGCTGGGAGCCCCATGACCGAAGCCGCCGCGCAGCCTCAGCGACCACCGGGCCCGAGCCACAGGGAGAACGCATCCGGTCGTCTTCAGAAAAGAGAGAAAGAAAACAAAAGGCCTCGCAATGGCCGCAAGCAGCCCCCTCGAGAGCCTGGGCACGCGGCATCCCCAGACAGGAAACACACAGGGCATGAGTGTCCCCAGCCGTGATGTAGCGAGGGCATGGAAAAACACACTGCCTGAACTGCTGACCAGCCTTCTCCTCTGCTTCTCCTTCCAGGTATCTAGATCTTCTCATGGTTGCTTTCTTCTGAGTAGTCTCGAACATGCCAGAGTGCCTGCTGAATAGAAAAAAGCTAATGTGTCCGGTGTGCCGGCGTGCTTATATACGCCTCCAGTTACGCCGTCACACGCTACCGTTCTAGCAACGCCAATAGGATTGGAGTAGTTCATTCATGATTTCAGCCCTGCCACACCCAGAGGTGTTCCCATAGTGTCGTCACCGACGCAGTTCGAGTTCCCTCGAAGGGGAACCATTCCTTTTTCGGAGGTTGTCTTGTTGTTACCTACATGTACATTAAAGGTTGAAAAACTATGGTTTTCCAAGAATGAATCAAATGTTACCCACATGTGAAAGGAGGCACATGCATGCGAGTTAAACTCTTCTCTGTTAAATGCTACACAATAAGAAACTGACTTGACAGTGTAACTGCCTGGGTTATTTTTATGATTCAATAACTGAAAAGGTAATTTGAATTAGATATTTCTTAACGATGCAGTCATTGATGACATACATTGTAGCAATTACCTGTGGTGTGAAAAAATGCATGCACTCATGAAAACAGCAGGAAATTAACAGTGGGTACAACTGGACTTCATGAGTATCCTGAAATGGGAGAGTTGACCTCATCCCTCCAGGGCGACTGTTCTCACAGCTAGATCCCAATCAACAACAACCACAGACAATGAGGCTCTTTATCTGTATGTGCAGAAAGCAAATGAGGATAAAAACATTCCAGTGACACAACAGAGCTTGTTGTCGAAATATTAAGTAATAGTATTATTACATCTCACATATTTCCAAATTGACAGGCCTTTTAAAATCTCAAAATAGCAAGCTATAAAGCATTGCAGAACAGAACTCAAAGGTCAAGAGATCACAGCCAGACACTTAGACAGTGATGAGCAGGGGAAAGCAACTCGTAGATGAGAGATGTATAATTGCTTTCAAAATAACGCTGTCATGTAGATTTCATGTCCAGCTGCTGTTTATACATTGTGTGTCAGGATAATTAACATAACTTTGGAACTCCCTGAACACGTCAGCTGTGAGGAATAAAAGCTGCTTCCTTGCAGTATGTTTGGATTGAAGGAGGACATAATGTTTGGAGTTGTTTCTGTGAGGGCTTACTGCACAGACAGGGGCTTCTCTATGGCGCGACTAACTGCTGGAGATGCCATAGTGTTGTGTCTCAGGGGATGACAGATACAGGCAGCACAGTGCAGTCATTGATTAAATGCTTTCCTATTTCTCTGTTTTTGCTCAATAAATCTACTAATGGCTCCAGTCTTTCTTTTGAGGTTATCTCAAAAGATGAACCCCACCAGTCACATGTAGGGCTGAAACGATTCATCGATTAAATCGATTAATTTGATTACTAAAATGCATCGACGCAAATTATTAGGCTTTAATCCACATAACTGTATAGCACACTGTTTCACACGGACATTTATTACTGTCGCACATCGCGCTTACGCTGTGTGAACATGACGTGATTATGATGCCGCTGTTTGCAAAGTGGAGGAAGAGAGAGAAAATAGCAAGAGATGAAGAAGAAAGTGTCCAAAGTATGGGATTATTTCAAGCTAAAAGAAAACAACAACTCCGTAATGTTACAGTCCGTCCACTGTAAAACGAAACTTATGTCGCCTAATGTTACCGCAACAGCACAACACCTGATCAGAAAGCACCTAGGTTTATGCCACCAGACCCCAGACAAAGTAAGAGTAACAGCAACTTTAGCATTTAACTGAAATCAAGATTGATTGTTGAGTTGAAGTTAGCTAGCCAAAGTTCTCAGCTGAAAATGTATACACGTGCATTTGTTATTCTCCGCCTGAGCTGTGAGTTTGGGTTGTAACGTTACACTCATGAGTTAACTGGGTGTCGGGGAGCTGCACCTTAATATAACTTGTAAATCACAAGGTGATGTTTGTGTTGGTAAAGCAGCTGTCTGTTTGCTGTATGACACAGTATGAATTTCCGAAAGGACTAATAAATATCAATCATCTATAAACGTACACAGCTGATCCCGTTACCAGGGTGGGGGTAGGGGGCGGCGACGCCAAGCAAAAGTACTTCTTAAACGAAGCATCAATGAATCAATGAAATAATCTATAGAAGCTTGTCAGTACAAACAGACACATAGAACATGCTCAAAATAAAAAACATTGTGACATTGTGTAATTAGTAATTATACCGTAAATATTATAACTAGTGTAGTTTACAGCAGCAGGCATATCCCTCGACTACACAAGACTGAATTCATGACACTTCATGATGTAGTGTGTGTGTCCATGTGGGGATATGCTGTGTACTACAGTAGGCATGTAGTGTGTTAGTAGACACACACACACACACACACACACACACACTACTTCATACAGTCATTAATTAAGTGTGGTGTTATGAATTGCATTGTGGCAACAAAGGTAGTAGACAGGATAATTAGCCTGCAATTTATTTGTAATTGCAATGAGAAAATGTGTTTTTGAAGGGTTAAAAATTATCAAAGAAAACAAGAGCATGGCAGCTCACCACCTCACATGGTGTTAAAGGCAGTCAGACAGCTGTTGCAGAACAAGTCGATCAGAAGTTCAGCGAAGGATTTTGACATAAACTTCCATATTCTGACTCTGTACTGTCAAAAGACTACCAGAGAAGAAACCGAAAGTTAGACAGCCAAGCAAATCACTCTGGATGGATGAAAGATGTTCTTTGTTGACTTCCTGAAGCATTTCAGTGAACATGCAAAGTGCTTTGAAGGAGAAGCCTTGTTTCCTCCTTTTGGAGAACCACTAGTGTCATCTGTCTATTGATGGACTCAATTATTCCAAAGAAAATGGTATAATTATGCTGTCATTCCCACCTCACTGTTCACATTGGCTTTTTTACTGACATTTTTTTACAGTTGTAGTAATTGTGTTCTTTTTTTGACATTCCAGTGTGACAAATTACCTAGTGATGGCGCAAACTGTCACAAGTGCACACCCTGTATTCAACAGTCTACAAGTTCATATCAAGATGTAATGAATACAAAATATGTGCTTCCTTCATTTGGTATGGTGTTATTGAGATGTATGGTGCCCAGTAAATGCTAGACAGTGTTAAAAATGTGACAGCATATACCATGCTGTTCCCTACCTATTGTGAAACTGTATTGTGCTGTATTGTGAACATTCATTTCACAAGACAGCTAATTTACCATGATATTCTTGATTGCTACTGAGAATCTCTTTTGATGGCGATGAGAAAATCTGCTCTTCAATTGAGAAAAGAATGAACTTAATTAGAATGCAAATGTATGTGTTAGGGAAAAAGGACTGCCATAGTCACTGCAAATGATTATCATTCTCTCCTTGTATCTGATGTATTTATCAGGAGCAAACAAGTGGCATAACTACTGATGACAAACGCAGCTGAATGAATGACCCAATTACCTACTTCAAACTTTCAATTCAAACTGCATCGCCATACCTAATCAGAATGCATGTTTATGATGAGATGCCAATCCTACTTGCACACTGTGAAAAAGATCTGCAGAAGATGCTTAACGTTGGGGCAGAATGGTGCTGAAGTGGAGACCGGTACAGTAACGCAGCAATTAGATGCAAGAAGTGCAGCTACTTTAATGAAAAACAACCACAGTGTAGAGCCTTATTTAAAGCAGAATTGAACCAAACGTCAAAGTTCTCTGTGTGCATATTACATTCAGGACAGAAGACAAAGCCCTTAAGTCAAACTGTTGCACAACAATGATACAAGCAGAATGAACTCAGAGATAAACTGATACAAAGGAAGCTCCTAAGTCAACTGCATATGAGGGTCTTCAAAAATGTGTTATTTGAGAGCTTTCCATTTTGAAGTCTCAACTACTGTATGCCCAAAAAGCCTCCATTTCTGTTGATCTCTTTTTTCTCTCCATTGGTGGCTGACATAACTGTTAACCTTAAACCACACCCATGAAGGATAAATGGGTGTGGGTTGCAAGCCCCACCGGCCATTTGATCCAGACATTTTCCAACTACACATAACTCCCATCCACTTCAAGTGAGACAGAAAGCCACTATGGAAGGAGGCCAGAGCCCTGCTGTTACTCCAACCTACCTAGGATGGTCCATCTTTAATACTTTATGCTGTTGTGTGCCTCTGGGGATTGCCGCTGTCTTCTACTCCTGTAGGGTAGGTAACTTTCCTGAACATCAAACTTTTTTTAGTCTGTATCTGCTGCTTTCTATTCCTGTATTCCAAGAGATACCCTAGAAATCAAAACAGTTTTAGTGTATTGCAACTGTGTAAATAAATTATTTTTTACAAAACTGAATTGCATGCAAATTTAAACTAATTCTGTTACTTGTTTTTTAAAGGCACAAAATGCTAATGCTGTTGGAGAATCAGCGACAGCCATGGATGCATCAAGGACAGCCAAGATTCTAAATGTTATTGGACTTGTCTGTGGAGTGATTTTAATCATCATTGTCATCCTTGTAAAATACCTTCAGTATTAATAACATCATTAAAGTTACCTGTTTTTGCAGGCAGAGTTGTTAGAATGTCAGCTAAGCTTTTGTTACGATAAAAATGTTCCCCTCCTCCACACGCAGGACCACTAAATAGAAACAGATATCTGTATGTGTGTGCGCACAAGTCTTTGTCTGTGTTCCTCTTTCAAATAAGTGCCTATTAACACATCCCAGGAATTCTGTTATAATGCACTGCTTGTGATGGTAAAAGCCAAAATGTGATTTGTATAAGGAAAAAGCTGCTTCTGGTTTACAATGGAATGCTTCAAAAAATAAACACTCCAAAAAGAATTTTCTTTGTGATCAGTGATTTTAAGAGTTTAATCATTTCATGAATAATGTTCAGTGATAAGGAAAAGATGACCAAAAAAAAAATTGGTATGCAAAATCACTTGCACTAAAATCGAGGGGAAAATGACTCCACATATGTTTACCCAATCTGGTCTTTGCCTTTCTCTGTGGCTTCAGAGCTCTCCTTTCTCAAAATTCCTTCAAGATGTGAGAACAGAGAGGTTTCTCTGTGTTTCCTTTGAAGTTCGTCAACTTCCTGCTCCATAATAGAAAACAGACACACAACAAGATCCATGCAAGGTGGCCATGGTTACTCACAATTATTATACTGCAACTCTTCACAATTCAACAACAATTCTGACAAATTATATTTTGAACAACCGTGCTTATATCTGAACTATCTGAAAAAAGAAGGTAAAATAACCAACATGTAAACAATGCTTTATGTAATGATCAAAGAGGAAATATTCTTACATCTTCAGACAGCAATGCTCTGCTTGGTTTGTGAAGCCTGTGAAGCAGAGAGGCAGCATAAGAGTCTGACAGTGTCCCCCTCAAGTCCCCTGAAGGGGCCTCACTGTCTTGAAACCATACACACAAATTGGCTTCCTGTGCAGAGGGGGGCACGTCCAGTCTGGCCTGAAACAGCTCCCCTAGACATGCCTGCAGTATCTGTGATAATTAAACAAAACAAAACAAATGAATTTCATAACTTTATTTGAAGCTAAATTTGAAATCAAAATGTACTTACAGTTTCCAGTAACAGTTTTCCGAACTGTTTATGATTCATGCACACTTGTGAGTGTTTGTCTATACCTTGAAGAAAAGCCTCTGGAAGGCAGGACTGGAGTCAGAGATTATGTCTTTGACTGTGATATGGGACAGACAGTGGAGCAGCAGCAGAGAGAATCCTCCAACTGACTGGAGCCTCTGGCGACGGACAAAGAGCGTCTCCTCTGCCTCCTGTCAACAGACCAGTCATTCACATGCATATGAGAGTTATTTTCACTAGCACATTACAGCTGCACAAAGACATATACAGTACATGCACAATTCAATGGTAAGAAACAAGCAGGGCGCTGCATTTCATTACATGAACAATAAAATGTTGTGTCTTGCCAGTTGAAAGGAAATTAAAGGAGTCGTTTTACTGTTTAGTTTTATGACAGAAATAAACAAATGAGAAAATACAACAAATGGCCACTAAGAGGGCAAGGATCGATTAAAATGTGTCTCTTTAAATGCACTAGATGGAAGCTGGAGTAAACCTATCTTTGTGCCATACTACATAAGCAGCAGATATGAAAAAGGTGGTGGTGGGATATAACTAAGCACATGTACACCAGTACTGTTCTTGAGTACAATTTTTAGGTATTTGTACTTTACTTGATTATTTCCATTTTATGCTAATTTATATTTTGCTACAGTTTGGAAACCAATATTATACTTTTTATTTTACGACGATTTATTAGACAACATTACTTACTAGTTACTTTGCAGATTCAAGTTAAAACATTTAAAATAAACAATACATTATAATTGTAAGTATGGATTGATGGGTGAAGAGAGACAGTGTGTTTTGTGTCCACAGACCAGTAGGGCTGAGCACGATGTTCTATAAAGCCTTTCACTGGCGGGACTATCCACTGAATGCCCCTTCAGCATTAGTGAAGGCTCCAAAAAGATGTAAACAGCAGATGGGCACATCAAACTGCTGTTGTGGTGTTGTCTGAGCTGTTTTGCTGTAAATTCTGGTACTAAGAAAGTTTAGTCAGAGTGCAGAGGGAGGTGCTGTTGGTCACTAGAATTATTATCTACTATAATACTGTTGTGTCATTGTCTCCTTTACAAGTTTTCCCTCCAGTATTTTTGATTTTGATCCTCTTTCATCACTCAAAATTGTCAGAGAGAGTCTCATTTACAATTATAATGGTAGTATTCCTTGGTGGAAGAAGTATTCACATCCTTTACTTAAGTAAAAGTAGGAAAACAACAAAATACTCCTGCATTCAAAATGTACCCCAACTGAAAGTATTAACAGCAAAATAATACAATTATATTATAAAAAATGTTTCAGTACTCATTGGAAAGCAGAATGTAATAATAATAAACACTTTTATTATAGTATGTCATAATATTGGATTATCATAACTGATGTATTAACATGTAAACAGCATTTTAATGTTGTATTGTGGTGGAGCTAATCTAAACAATGCATTTTACCATTTAAAACTATGTATTGTATTTTATAAGCTGATGATACAGTTTGGGGTGGTGATAATACACATGCCTTTGGTGTGAGAGACCCGGATTCAATTCCCCACTGTGACCCATCTACCACTGTGTCCCTGAGCAAGACACTTAACCCGTAGTTATATTTATAAACCCACTTGTAGGCTATCAATATAATACATTATGACAGCGACCGCCGGGCCCGAGCCACGGGGAGAACGCATCCGGTCGTCTTCAGAAAAGAGAGAAAGAAAAGAAAAGGCTTCGCAATGGCCGCAAGCAGCCCCCTCGAGAGCTGCCTGGGCATGCGGCATCCCCAGACAGGAAACACACAGGGCATGAGTGTCCCCAGCCGTGATGTAGCGAGGGCATGGAAAAACACACTGCCTGAACTGCTGACCAGCCTTCTCCTCTGCTTCTCCTTCCAGGTATCTAGATCTTCTCATGGTTGCTTTCTTCTGAGTAGTCTCGAACATGCCAGAGTGCCTGCTGAATAGAAAAAAGCTAATGTGTCCGGTGTGCCGGCGTGCTTATATACGCCTCCAGTTACGCCGTCACGCGCTACCGTTCTAGCAACGCCAATAGGATTGGAGTAGTTCATTCATGATTTCAGCCCTGCCACGCCCAGAGGTGTTCCCATAGTGTCGTCACCGACGCAGTTCGAGTTCCCTCGAAGGGGAACCATTCCTTTTTCGGAGGTTGTCTTGTTGTTACCTACATGTACATTAAAGGTTGAAAAACTATGGTTTTCCAAGAATGAATCAAATGTTACCCACATGTGAAAGGAGGCACATGCATGCGAGTTAAACTCTTCTGTGTTAAATGCTACACAATAAGAAACTGACTTGACAGTGTAACTGCCTGGGTTATTTTTATGATTCAATAACTGAAAAGGTCATTTGAATTAGATATTTCTTAACGATGCAGTCATTGATGACATACATTGTAGCAATTACCTGTGGTGTGAAAAAATGCACTCATGAAAACAGCAGGAAATTAACAGTGGGTACAACTGGACTTCATGAGTATCCTGAAATGGGAGAGTTGACCTCATCCCTCCAGGGCGACTGTTCTCACAGCTAGATCCCAATCAACAACAACCACAGACAATGAGGCTCTTTATCTGTATGTGCAGAAAGCAAATGAGGATAAAAACATTCCAGTGACACAACAGAGCTTGTTGTCGAAATATTAAGTAATAGTATTATTACATCTCACATATTTCCAAATTGACAGGCCTTTTAAAATCTCAAAATAGCAAGCTATAAAGCATTGCAGAACAGAACTCAAAGGTCAAGAGATCACAGCCAGACACTTAGACAGTGATGAGCAGGGGAAAGCAACTCGTAGATGAGAGATGTATAATTGCTTTCAAAATAACGCTGTCATGTAGATTTCATGTCCAGCTGCCGTTTATACATTGTGTGTCAGGATAATTAACATAACTTTGGAACTCCCTGAACACGTCAGCTGTGAGGAATAAAAGCTGCTTCCTTGCAGTATGTTTGGATTGAAGGAGGACATAATGTTTGGAGTTGTTTCTGTGAGGGCTTACTGCACAGACAGGGGCTTCTCTATGGCGCGACTAACTGCTGGAGATGCCATAGTGTTGTGTCTCAGGGGATGACAGATACAGGCAGCACAGTGCAGTCATTGATTAAATGCTTTCCTATTTCTCTGTTTTTGCTCAATAAATCTACTAATGGCTCCAGTCTTTCTTTTGAGGTTATCTCAAAAGATGAACCCCACCAGTCACATGTAGGGCTGAAACGATTCATCGATTAAATCGATTAATTTGATTACTAAAACATAATACATAACTGTATAGCACACTGTTTCACACGGACATTTATTACTGTCGCACATCGCGCTTACGCTGTGTGAACATGACGTGATTATGATGACGCTGTTTGCAAAGTGGAGGAAGAGAGAGAAAATAGCAAGACATGAAGAAGAAAGTCTCCAAAGTATGGGATTATTTCAAGCTAAAAGAAAACAACAACTCCGTAATGTTACAGTCCGTCCACTGTAAAACGAAACTTATGTCGCCTAATGTTACCGCAACAGCACAACACCTGATCAGAAAGCACCTAGGTTTATGCCACCAGACCCCAGACAAAGTAAGAGTAACAGCAACTTTAGCATTTAACTGAAATCAAGATTGATTGTTGAGTTGAAGTTAGCTAGTGTTGAGTTTTAAAAAGTTACAACAAACTTAATGTACTCCAGTGTTTCAGTGCTTTCCTTCAAATGTAAACCTGCAGGATTTTAGGCCAAACGATTGCATTAGAATGTTGATTAAACCATTGTTTGCATCCTCTTTGTAATGTAAAGAAGACGGACACCTCTTTGTTTAGTGCCAGAAGGACAGTTTTTTGACTGTTTCATTGACACTTAAGATAGGGTGTCAACCATTTTGTAGACAAGCCCTGTTGTTCTCCATGATTAGTTTAGAGCAAAAGACTGTTTATTCCTGTAGATTGAAGGGGGTTTCACGTCTGGGAATTGGCGCTCTTTTTCGACCAAAAGTAACATAGAGCAGTAAGGTACACCCTTCCTAATTGGGTGACGAAGAAGTGACCAAACGACCAATGGCTATGGTCCTGGGCCATTTGGAGGAAAAGACATACCTGGAGGATATTAACAGTTCATTTTGCGAGAATCAGGACTGTAAGCTGTAAATCTGAAAAGAGGAACAACTTTCCAGTCCACTGCAGTGTTTTTGTTTTGTTGTTTGTTCTGTAATGCCATCTTTTATTCACCTATTTTTTATTAAATTTTCTTGTTAATTTTCATCAGATCCAGCCTCTCCTTTCTCAAAATCTGAAAAAAACGCAACAATTGGTGACCCCGACGTGATTTTGAGAAAAGGGACAGGACAGGACAAAACTTCAGACGGAGAACGGACGACTGCCTGATTCTCACACGGGCCCAAATATCGAAAGGTAAGAACAGAGACCTGTTTTATCAAAATTCTGTATAGGTTATATAGGAGATTTTAGGTGTGAGAATCAAGCAGCGTCTACTCCGTAAGTCTGTTAATATTTTAAAGTGATTTAAAGTGAAAATACCGATTGTTAAATATCATTCGAGATGGCAATATAGAACAATAGTATGTTATTGTTTGTCTGAAGCTTAAAAGCCTGTATGAAGGTCCATGGTATGTTATTGGTTATTTAAAGATTAAAAGCCTGTATGAAGGTCCATGGTAAATAGTGCACATTAGAAAAATTTTAAATAGAAAGACCGTGGGGCCGGCGACAGAGACAGTCTCTGTGAGGCACGAAGGCGGGAATAAGTCTTTTTGAAAAAGCCAGGGTGAAGCCCTGTGAGGGAGTAGGGGTTGGTAAACGGGAAGCGCGGTGACGACGGCTTCTTAGTCCCATACAAAGACCTCTCATTTTCTGCCTTTGTGATCCTAGAGGTAAAAAATAAAACCTGTATGTAGGTCGAGAATTCTCTGAATTTTTCGTAGTCTTTTCGGGAGTATAGAAAACAGTAGCGCCATCTACCTATTTTTGCGCTACCTAGAGTTTCGAAAATTCAGGGTTTTTTCGGGGGTACAGAAGGGAGAAGCGCAGTCTTGTTCCTTTTGTATCGCCTAGTATTAAGTGTGAAAAACCTGTATGAAGGTTCGGTACCTTCCGAGGTCCGAGGTCACAAGAGTGAGCCTAGTATTGTGTGTGAAAATAGGTATCAATTGAATATAGGTCTGTACATACTGTAAATAAGTAAAATCTTTGTAAATAAGGATTGTTTGCATTGAAATCAGGAGTCAAAAGGAGTGAAACAAAGCAGTGTTTCAAAAAACTGTTTTGTGGTGACTGAGCAATGTTTTTTTTGTTTGTTTGTTTGTGTTTTGAAAAAACTTTGTTGAGATATTGGTTGATTCAGATATTCAACTCTTATGACTCTCTCATGACTGCTTCTGAGGTGAATTAAGTTGAAATCAATCAGTACCTTGAGTTCTATTTTTATTTTATTTTTGCATAGGGTAAAAAAAAAAAAAAAAAAATGGTGACATCTCCAAA